TGAACGAGGGTGCTGGCAATGGGAATATAGCGAATGGAATAATGCAAGAGATCACTTGGTAAACAAAATTACAGGGGAAAACTTAGGCAAACAAAGTTATTAACAAGGACAAAATATAGTAAGGATAACAGTCTCCTTATCTTGCAAAAAAGCAAAAGAGCTATTATTACATACATTTCAAGTTACTTTTTCTTTAAAATTCTCTTGCTTCATTACATCTTTTTCTTCCTTATTGGGACAGTTTATTATTATTTTGGAAGAACCAAAATCAATATAGATAAATTTTAACATTCTATTTGGTATGCCAAGTTAGTGAAGAATATTAATGAAAACATCCATATTTTGTGATCATGAACTTTGAACATTTACAAAACCTCCCAAAATATTAGTTTGTTTTTAGATATAGATGGCATAGTCCATTAAAAGTTGCGATAGTAAATAATCTATACCAGCACGGGCTTACTGTTCTCACCAGCTTGAATCATATTTCCAGTGTTTGGTGGATAAATCAGAAGATATCTTGAAGTATGCAGCAAGAAGAAACTTTCCACCCAGGATGTTCATTATATATAGCTAGTTATACGTTGTATCCTATATTTTTAATTCTTATTATGTGCTGTTTTCATTTCATGAAGGGTATTCTGTGTTTTTGGTGGGGGAGAAGGGAGGGCTGTTTGTGCATTTCCTTATTATGGACAAATTTCACCTGAAAATCAGTGTTCCTCACAATCAAATTATTCTCCCAGATTCGGTTACTTTTGGTGTATAATTTAAAATGTCTGTGACTTAACCACGACCATGATACACATCCCACGTGTTATGATCGTGAGAGCAGGTCACACAGTCTCAGCGCCAGCACTCCAGCCCTTAGGTTTTCCTAGGCACACAGGTGACATAGCAGAGCATCCTGAAGGTGCATGTGTTTCTAAATGAGAAGCTGTGAGAACAGGCTCCAAACATAGTCTACCGACTGAACACTCACCACAGTCAGGCTGACCGGGCTGTTGCCCTTGGGGACGGGGTGGTTGTAGAGCGTCGTGAGAGTTCCGTTCAGATCACTGTCCTACAGCGAACATGAAAACCAAGAAACTTTATAAGTGAAATTTATGATAAGCAAATACAATTAAAACTATTTGATAAAATCATATCGGACGTGTTTTATGTAACTGCTTTCCAAAGGAATGTTTCAAATACCTACAATTGAAATACTTTAATCAATATAGAAAATGTATTCAAATCTCTTTATCTAGAAAGAATAATAGCAATATTTATATTTAGTATAAATATGTACTTGACAAAACTTAATTATTACAAAATACAATGGTGCTCTCTATAGAAGGAAATCATTTAAATTCATTGAATCTGAGAAGAACAATGGGATTGAGTAAAACAGCAACACTTCTCTTTATCAGATCACTGAAAGCTTCCATTTTCCATTTTAATTTTAAAATCTCAAACCTAATTTCTAAGGAATAGATACAATTTAAGTAAGATTATTGTACTAAGATGCAACACAGAGGTTATTCTAAATATTTATTTTCTAAGAAGTTACTGGTCACTATTTGACCCATCATAATTATGACTTATAATTTTTCTTCTAATAAGGAACACAGATATAGTCTTCTTATTTCCTCTTCTCAGAAAACCAAAATTACATGGATTTTCTCATTATATTTCCTTTTATATGTTCCAGTATTACTGATGATCTCAGGGAGAATAGGGCATATAATAGGACATCATATAATAGGTACATACAGATACATATTAATTTATCAATAAGAGTTTCTAAAGCATTCAAAATTTGGACAATACAATTAATGTTGGTTCCAATGTACACTCAGCAAAAACAAAGAACAAGAAATCATCTTGATGTAGAATTCTGGTTTTGAGTTTTCCTTTAAATAATTAAATACTTTTCTTTCCAGTCATTAGGACAATGAATGTATAACTTCAACATAAAATTACTCAAGTGTAAAATGACTTTCTAATGAATACTTCACAGACTTAAGCCCAATTATAGAAGAGGGAAATATTTACACACACTTGCACACAAACACCTAGACTTTTGACAAACTTGCTATTACGTTGTTAACAGTTATTTGAACAGTTAACAGAAATTTGATTGCCAGATTAGGAGATTGCTCACTAGAAGAGTAAAAGGTGAGTCTTGAGTTCTTAATGATACATTTAAACTCTATTTAATAAAAAGTATCTGGAGTAGTATTTGTGCTGAATTTGGGCTTGTTTTGAAAGATGTTCACACTGAATCTTAAAAAATGAGTGTTCCATCAGTAATTACGAGTGAGTGACCTATAATCTTGAAAGACAACTCTATAGAGTTATGTTCTGGGAAATTTAAGTAGCTCAGAATAATTGGATAGTACATTATGTATATGAAAGTGGGAGCGGGTTAGCCAGGAAAGAACAGCAGAAGCCAGATCACGACGCTAGGGTTGATGGTCGTAGAATAATGTAAATGTACTTAAATGACACAACACTGCACACTTAAACATGGTTTAAAATAATAAATTTTATGTTATGTGTATTTTACATTAAAAAATGGGGTGAAGAACATAGCTTACCAGCTCCTTAGCCAAGTAATCTGCTAAAGTATTTAGAAGCTTGTAATATACTTCAAACCACGGCAGGTAACTGTAAAATAATAATAATAATTTCAAAATAAATATATATATAATTTAGATTGAAGAAACAAAATAAACATTAAACTGATGTTATTTCTAACAGGTTGATCCTGGAAAGCTGAAAAGAACTATACATGTGTTTTCTTTATTGTTCCAGTGAAACTTTATATATTATTATCTATTATTAGTTTTCATAACATAATCAGAATTCAAACTGCTACTATAAAGCTTATTCATTACACACTTCTATTTTATGTCAGCAGTATCTAAAATTACTTAATCCTATTGCATGGTATTCATGATATGAATGTACCGAAAGCACTCATAGGATAAAAATTAACCACTGTAATAAAGTTATAATATGACATAAAAGTAATTTTAAAAAGCATTTAAAATAAAGATACATTTTTAAAATATTACTGAACTGAGCATGTAGTACAATAGAATTATGTACTTAATTAATTAGTTATTCAGAAATTTATGTTTAAATAGGATGGTCAATTTCAAAATAAATATTAATACAAAAAACAAAAAGCATGTTTTAAAAGTTATAAATACTGTAAATAGCTTTTAGATCATCAAAACAAATACAGGAATTTAAAATTTATTTTGATCCATTTTACTAGCTACAAATAGAATTAATTTTTATGAAAGCAAAATACTAAATCCAAAAATCAATTGTACAAAATAAAATCTGTACTCCTTATTAACAAATTCAGATATTAGTATATTTGAAATCTACCCAAAGTTTTTAATCATTTATTAAAACGTGTGCTTTCCGGACCGGCCAGTGGCGTAATGGTTAAGAGCTGGTTTGGGACGCCAGAGGGCCCCGGTTGGGATCCTACATATGAGGGCCAGTGACACTGCCCTCCACAGCTAAGATGCTGAACAACAGCTCAACCTGGAGCTGGGCTGCCGGGAGGCGCCGGC